AGGCCTTTTCTACATCTAATGAGATGATCAGGTTTTTACTTCTTTCATTTTGTTTATACGGTAGATTATATTTATTGATTTTCATTATTGAACCATGAGTTTATAAGTTTTCTATTGTTTCTCTTCTTGGATATTCAGCTTTAATCCATGGTGGTCAGATAGGATGCAGGGAGTTATTTCAATTTTCTTGTATCTGTTGAGACTTGTTTTGTGTCCAGGCATGTGGTCAATTTTGGGGAAAGTTTCATGAGGTGCAGAGAAGAAGGTGTATTCTTTTGTGTTATGGCAAAATGTCCTGTAAATATCTGTTGAGGTTCTTTTGGTTTATAACCTCTGTTAGCTCCAGCATTTCTCTGTTTAGTTATTGTCCAGATGTCCTGTCTATTGGCTAGAGTGGAGTATCAAAGTCTCCATTATCAGTGTGTGAGGGTCAATATGAGATTTAAAGTGTAGTAGTGTTTCTTCTAAAACGTGTGTTCTTTTGTTTGGGGCATAGTTATTAAGGATTGAAATGTCTTCTTGGTGGACTTTTCCTTTGTGTATGTAGTGTCCTTCTCTATCTCTTCTGATTAATTTTGGTCTGAAGTCTGTTTTTTCAGGCTAACCCAGCTTGCTTGTTAGGTCCATTTGTTTGAAATATCTTTTTCCAACCCTTCACCCTGAGGTAATGTCCATCCTTGAAGTTGAGGTGTATTTCTTGGATGCAGCAGAAGGATGGATCTTGTTTTCACATACATTCTGTTCTGTTAGTCTATGTCTTTTTTTGCAGGGGGAGTGGGGAGATTGAGCCCATTGATATTCAGAGATACCAATGACCAATGATTGTTGATTCCTGTAATTTCGTGTTGTAGTTACTGGTGGTGGTAGTGGTAGCAACAGAGTGGTGTGTGTGTGTGTGTGTGTGTGTGTGTGTGTGTGTGTGTGTGTGTGTGTGTTTCTCTTCTTTTGAGCTTATTTGTTCCCTGTGTTTTCATGGTTGTAGTTAATGTCCTTAGGTTAGAGTTTTCCTTGCAGCACCTTCTATAAGGCTGGATTTGTAGATAGATATTGTTTAAATTTGGCTTTATCATGGAATATCTTGTTTTCTCCATGTATGATAATTGAAAGTTTTGCTGGGTGTAGTAGTTTGGGCTGGCATCTGTGGTTTCTTAGAGTCTGTAGCTAATTCATTCAGGCTCTTCTGGTTTTTAGAGTCTCCACTGAGAAGTCAGGTATAATTCTAATAAGTCTGCCTTTATACATTACTTGGTTTTTTCCCCTTGCAGCTTTTAACATTCTTTCTTTGTTCTGTACATTAAATGTTCTGATTATTACATACCCAGAGGACTTTCTTTTCTGGCCCAATCTATTTGCTGTTCTTCATGCTTCTTGTATCTTTATAGGGATCTCATTCTTTAGGTTAGAAAATTTTCTTCTATGATTTTGCTGAAGATATTTTCTGGTCCTTTGGGCTGCATTTCTTTTCTAAATTTCTATTGTTCTTAGATTTGGTCTTTTCACAATGCCACAGATTTTCTGGATGTTTTGTGCCAGGAGTTTTTATATTTAACATTTTCTTTGACTGGTGTATCCATTTCTTCTATTGTAACTTTGATGCCTGAGATTCTCTCTTCCATCTCTTGAATTCTGTTGGTGAAACTCTCCTCTGTAGTTCCTGTTTCAAATTCCTAAATCTTTTATTTCCAGAATTCCCTCAGTTTGGGTTTTCTTTGTTGATTCTATCTTAGGTCTTGAACAGTTTTATTCATTTTGTACTGTTTCTTTGTGTTTTCTTGGATTTTTTTCAGAAATTTGTTCATTTCCTCTTTAAGGACCTCTATCATCTTGGTATAGCTGGTTTTAAGGTCTTTTTCTTGTGCTTCTGCTGTGTTGGAATATTCAGGGCCTGCTGTGGTAGGACAGCTGGGTTCTAGTGGAGACATTTTGCCCTGGCTGCTGTTGGTTGTGTTCTTATGCTCATGTCTGGGCATCTGGGATTCAGATGATTATAGTCTAGTGCTGGTTTCTGGGTTTGTCTTTTTTGAATGGATGTTTTGTTCCTTGGTTTCTGTTTCCTCTCTGAATTTTTGAGAGTGTGATGGCTGTGTGTTGCCTGGTATGAAGTTTTCTGTGGCCCTGCTTCCCTGGCCTGCTCAGCTGGTGTGTTCCCAGGGAATGCCTGCTGCTGGTTTTGGATGCTAGGATAATGGCATGCATTGGGGGAAGGAAGGTTGGAGAAGATCCTTTTGGTCCTTTGGGGCTGGGATCAGAAAGGAAAGGGAGACTGCATTGGGTGTTCAGCTCCAAAGCTGGGGGTGAGACCGGGAGATGGGATCTGGAGGAGCAGAAGGAGAGGTGAAGACCTTCAGGCAACCTATCCATTTCCCTGGCAGGAGTGGCCTTTGGGTGAGCCTTCTGGGGATGGAGGCTGGGAGAAAGCCTACAGATGTTTTAAAGATTTATGTGTTTTGTGTGATTAAGTGTGGCAGCATGGATGTGTGGGTTCATGCAGATCTGTGGAAAGGTGGAAAGAAGACTCAGAGGCACCTTAAGAATGAATCTAGCCTTTCTCAGCTGCAGGAACATCCAGCCTCTAAGGACTGAAGCACTTTCCCTTCACCCAGGGCATTTTTATTTTTTTCTCTATTTCAGTTTAGCCAGTTGATTTCCATATGCTCAAAACAACCTGAAAGAAGCACCCAAAGATACAATGCCAAATGCAAATTCCTCAATTTATCAGGTACCACGGGTTTTCTGCCCCCCCATCAAGTTTTGCATAGGCCTTTGATCCTTGGGAGACTCTGAGACAAGATTCACATAGGGCAATAATAAAAACAAAAGGTATGAGTTAAACAAAGGCTGGATTAGGGCTAGGTGCTACTCTCTGGAGCCAAGCCAGGAGTAGCTCAGCAGGAATGCAGCCACAATTTTGTATTATTTTGTAGCTGTGTGTGTGTGTGTGTGTGTGTGTGTGTGTGTGTGTGTGTGTGTGTGGTTATGTGCATGTTAGTACAATGCTAGCAGAGTCCAGAAGAGACCTGGAGCTGGAGTTACAGGCAACTGTGAGCCAGTCAGCGAGGGTCCTGAGAACCTAGCCTCAGTACATTCTTGGGTACTGAGCCATTTCTCCAGCCCCCTGTTCAAAGATTGTTAGTGATTCTAAGACCAACAGACAAAACCATGTAAGTTTTTCCTGCCCCTTCACTCCCTGTGCACACAGGTGAATCCGCCCTGCAAAGCACACTGTCTGCTTAGTGCCTAGCTTAAAAGCAATGCCTACCTCAGGCAGGGCTGAAGCTGTTCTCTTGCCCAAGCATCCATCCTCTGCCATTCAGTACTGTGGGCAGGGAAATCGGCTTGACTCAAGACTTCAGGACTGACCATTTAACAGCTTTGACTTGGAGAATGAAGGTAAAGATGGTATACCAGATCACAGGCCTCAAGAAACTGTGTGTGTTCTAGACAGTTCTGTACAACCTGTACTGTCACCTATAGAATGCCACCAGGGTACCTGCTAGCTCCATGAGAAGAATGGGAGACACTGGGGCATGGGTGGCAGCTGAGCAGCTGAGCCCAGCCCTGGAGCCCAGCATAGGACAAAGCAGTTTGCTTATCACTGGCTCCATTTGTGACATGCTCAATGCATGCTTGTTATCATAGCAGTGCATCACTGACCCTGTTTTGATGACATTTATTTTATTGTGTATGTGTGTATGCATGTGCACACGTGCCATGACATGTGTGAGATAGAGGACAACTTCATAGAATTGGTCCTCACCTTCCACATGTGGATTCTGGGGATCAAATTCAGGCTGTTATGCTTGGCAAGCTCCTTTACCCACTGAACCGTCACTGGGCCCTGTTGTCTCTGTGGCTGGCTGGGTTCTCTTATGCCACTATTGTGACAATGGGTCATTGGCCCATTTGCTTTCTCATGATTAATAAAACAGATTCCTAAAAGGGTGTGTATGTGTGTGAGCATCAAGGCCTCTGTGTTTTACTGAAAAGATCATGGAAATGAAACGTTGCTGTGGGATGGTCTGTATGTCAAGTGTGTTGCTGATTGGTCAATAAATAAATCACTGATTGGTCAGTGGCCAGGCAGAAAGTATAGGCGGGACAAGGAGGAGAATAAAGCTGGGAAGTGGAAGGTTGAGAGAGAGACACTGCCAGCCGCCACGATGACAAACAGCATGTGAAGACGCCGGTAAGCCATGAGCCACGTGGCAAGGTATAGATTTATAGAAATGGATTAATTTAAGCTGTAAGAACAGTTAGCAAGAAGCCTGCCACGGCCATACAGTTTGTAACCAATATAAGTCTCTGTGTTTACTTGGTTGGGTCTGAGCGCCTGTGGGACTGGCAGGTGACAAAGATTTGTCCTGACTGTGGGCCAGGCAGGAAAACTCTAGCTACAAAACGTAGGCACCCACGTCCCGGTGTTCAGTTTTCTGTTAGCTCTGTGACCTGGGTCGCTCACTTATTTCCTGTGCCGTTTTTCAAATCCTGACTAATAAACATTTTTCTATCAGTTCCACAATTTTGTACAGATAATCTTGCAAGAAGGGTGGGTCTGGCAGCACAGGCCTCGTAATCTCCAGTTCCTCAAGAGGCTGAGGCAGGAGGATTGCCAAGTTCAAGGCTTGAACTAAGCAATCATTGAGAGCCTGTCTCAAAGGTTAAAGGAGGGCTGGGGATAGATATGGCTCAGTGGTAGAGCACTTGCCTAGCATGTGCAGGGCCCTGGGTTCAAACCTCAGTGTGGCCACTCCATGTGTGTATGCATGCTCGTGTGTGTCTGTGTGTGTGTGAGCATGTGCATGGGGGTGAGGGTGGGGTGTATAAGTGCAGCTTATACAGCTAGCCACAGATGCTGTGTGTTCATGATTGCAAGGGTCATATTGTGCCCAAAAGATGGTGTTTCATAGTCCTTCCAACTCATACAGTCCTTCCTTCCTTCCTTCCTTCCTTCCTTCCTTCCTTCCTTCCTTCCTTCCTTCCTTCCTTCCTTCCTTTACTTTTAGGGGAGAGTACAAATGCAGTTCCCCACTACCACAAATCATGCAGTCTAGTTTCCTGCTTTTGCAGAAATTGCAGGAGTCAGCACACCCAGAGTATAATGGACAAGTCATGCCCTGGGAAAACCACCTTCATGATCATGGTCTCTCCCTGCCAGGTAAGTACACAGGCTCTTATGGTCTTTCTGGCCCCACTTCTGCGATGTGTGTAGGACTTGGTAGGGGTGTTATGGATACCCTGTAGGTCAGAGCACTCAGTGGGCACTTCTCAGCATGCTGACCAGCTGTGGGTTTCTGTATTAACTGTCACCCTCTGAGAAAAGCTTTCTGGGGGCTGGTGAAATGGCTCAGCAGTTGCTGTTTTCATAAAGGACCACGGTTCGATTCCCAGCTCCTATCAGGTGGCTCACAACTGCCTGTAACTCCAGCTCCAGGGGATCTGATGCCCTCCTCTGGCCTCCCTGGGAACTACACACACAAAAAAAATATAAATAAAAAATAAACTTTTAAAAAAAGTTTCTCTGATCAAAGATGAAACACACATCGAGAGGCAGTTTGGCTGCATGTCTGTCTAGCAAAAGCAATCTGGTCAAAGATGTCTTTGAGAAGTCAATGCAATCTTTGTAGTTATAAATTATTAGCTGTATATTCTTGTCCATCTTAAATGAGAGTTCCTTTAAAAACAGCTAGCCTAGGATGACTTGGTGTGGTCATTTCTTTTGGTAGATGAATCTGAGAGTTTAGACTCATGTCTGCCCCTAGCTCCTCTTTGCCTCCATCTACATATGTCCTCACAGAGAACTCTAGAATATTGAAACAGGAATGTTTCCCCTATGCAACCAAGAATCTCTCCCCCCCCCCCCCCCAAATAGTGGTTTTGTTGGGGCATTTGTCCTTATTCTAAACTTGGTCAGCTGGCCCCATTCCCAGCCAGTCTTCCTGGGCAGCAGTACCCCCGAGGCCCTGTGGGAGGCATAGGCAGCCTCTCTAGCTCACTGGGCCTTCACATCCCTTCGCAATGAGCACTTTGGTGTGTTGGCCAACAATCCCCCAATTTCACCCTTGAGCTCCTCTGCTCCTCTCTGGTGGATGCCATCTGCTCCTGGTGATTTATCTACATTTAGTTTGTCAATTAAGTAGAAAATCACTCTCACATCTACTGCCATTTGAGTTTGTATCTACCCTGTCGGTCCCCAGAACAGTCTGGAAGCAGGACCTTTATAGCATCACATACAAATGCAGAACCTGAGCTTTTTGAGGAACCTCATCCTCTATATCAGATTCACTGACTAAGGAACAACGAGAGAGCACCTGCTGTGTGCCTTCCAGAATATTCTTAACAAGGAAGGCTAAGGTGGGGAGACAGGAAAGAACGGTGGAAATGACTGAAGAGCAGTATGGAGAGGGAGCTAGGGGGTGAGCAGTTTGTAGGAGAGCCTTGAAACAGTGAATGGAAGAGTGAGAAACTCGGAGGAAGTTGAAGGAAGAACTGCAAACAGGTGTCCTGAGTCTCAGATGTCCTTAGTCTTTCTGTGTTGTTCTTCCTCACGCTCATCTTGGAGAGCGGCAGAGCAGGTACAGGTGACACTGCATGGGCTTGTTCTGTCCTGAGGTCATCATTGCCCTCAAGACAGGCATCTGTGGACCGGCCAGGGTCTTCTCTCTAGTCCAGTGGTTCTCAGCCTTCCTGACGCTGCGACCCTCTAACACGGCTCCTCATGTTGTGGTGACCCCCAGCCATAAAGTTATTTCTTTGCTACTTCATAGCTGTAAGGTTGCTGCTGTTGTGAATCATAATATAAATGTTGGATATGCAGAATATCTGATATGCGACCCCTGTGGGGGCCTCAACTCACAGTTGAGAACCACTGCTCTAGAGTCTGTATCTCAGAGGGACAGCGGAGACCACTGGACCCTTGTAAGAGGAAAATAAGAGATCTGGACAGAGCCAGGGATCTGGAGCAGGGGAGTGAGAAGGAAGGGGTTTGGGGAAAATGGCACATAGGGAGGTGTTAGGAGTTAAATAGACATCTCACGGGGGCTGGAGAGGTGGCTCTGGTGACAAAGTGCCTGCTTTACAGCCACCCAGCCCAAGGACCTGGGTTCAATCCCCAGGCCCCCGTGGTGGATGCAGTGTACTGACTTCACAAGTTGTCTTCTGAACTCCACATGTGCACCACTATGTGCGCGCACGTGCGCGCGCGCACACACACACACACACACACAAGCACATACACATAACATAAATAAAATGTACTTTGTTTCTTACAATCAGCTGTGATGACCTACGCCTGTGATTTTAGTGCTGGGCAGGTGGACACAGGAGGGGACCCCTGGGGCTCAATGGCCAGTCAGCATAGGTGACTCCCAGGTTCAGCGACAGACCCTGTCTCAAAAAATAAGGTGGAAAAAGATTGTGGAAAATACCTGACATTAACCTTTGGCCTCCATATGTACATGCATGTGCACACATGCACGCGCGCGCACACACATGCATGCGTGCACATAGGTATATACATGAATACATTTATGTAGAGACACGTGAAAATAGGAAACAAAAACTGAAGCATTTGCCTGTTTCCAGGACTTCGGATGTCATCATGTCTGTCTATCCTGGCATTGCCGTGAGAAGGCAGGACTGCTGTGCCCTGGCACAGATCTATGGGAGTACAGTGGCCCTGGGATGAGACTCCAGCTCAAAGCAGCAGAGGCCAGGGTGAAGTGCTGGGGCCTGTGGCAAGTTCCAATGCTGTTTGAGACATTTGCTGCATACGCCCCTGAGGGAAAATTAACTCATTCCAGCCTTATGGATAGGCTTGTTAGGTGTCTTCGGGAGTGCCTGCCTAAAGCATGGTAGAAATCCCTGCTCTGTTGAAATTCTGGGCTCTCTACATACTTGCTTTTAGACACCAAATGTGAGCCAGAGAAACCCCACTGCTTCCAGCAAGTTTTCTGAGCCAGCTCTCCTTGTAGAGGCACGGAATGACACTGGTGGCTTCCTCTGACAGCCTGGCCCAACAATGGAGACAGCTTAGAGCAGAGGCTCAAGTGGGCACTTGGAAGGATCAGCAAACAGGACATAATATGTGTTTACAACCCCAGAACTGCCCCACTGGACATACAACATTATTAGGAAATAAACCTCAGCTGCAAGCCATGTACATTTCAGGACCATTTATTACAGCAACGTAGTATAACTCATACTGACTGATACATTTGTGAGTGCTCCTGAAGTGAGACAAATCAGGAAAAGTCAAGGCCAAGAAGTAAGCTGTACAGAGGGTTTTGAGCCAAATAGGATAACTCATGGAAGGATTTGAATAGCTAAGAGACCGGGGCTGGAAATTGCAATGAGAATAGATAGGCCTTACTGATGGACCCAAAGGTCTCTGAAGCCAAGTCCCATTCCTCTGTGCTTCAGTTTTCTCCTTTATAAAATGAAGATAATAAATCAGCACCTGGTTATAGGGCTGTTTCTAGGTCTGAATGAATTGCCCAGGCACATTATCCACTTATGCTGAGCACAGCACCACGGCCACAGTAGATAGATCCTCGGGATGCATTAGACACCTCCATTCTTTCTAACTCTCCTACCCTGCAGAAATCAGACTGAGTTCTCCAGAGGGTTCAGTGCTCGCTGGAGACCCTCACCCCTGACTGACAGCAAAGGAGCTTCCTGCAGCCAGCCAGGGAGAAGACAGGTTCTGAGAGCCAGGAGTGTGGGTGGCCAATGACAGGCATTTAATTCACATTTAAGCCAAAACAGTTGTTAGTAAATTAAACATTGATTGTAAATGAGCCTCCAGTTAAGATTCACTAATTACACCACCAACTCAATTGTCATGCAATTTATATACAATTACCCCAGAACAAATATTTAATTACTTTCCCCTTAATACGTTGAACTAATATTGTTCATCAAGCTGGTAGATGGGAATGTGGAAACATTTAGTTGACGCAAAGATGGGCAATCAGAGAATTAATAAGACAATGGCCACATTGTCTTGTCCACTGGTGTGACAGGGCTTTAATGGTGATGAGGGGAGCTGCAGAAGGGAGGTCCTTATGTCTACGATGGTGGAGGTGGTGGCTGGAGACACCTGGAAGTGGAAGATTTCCCTGTAGGGCGTGGTCTAGAATCCTCTGGAGAAGCTGAGGCTGTCTGTTGGTTAGACCTGCACCATGGCTCAACATCTTCTTCCACCCATCCTTCTCCAATAATGGTGATCACAAAGCTACTCCCAAAATCAAACCTACTGTTCTCGAAAATTCTATCTACAACTGGAAACCTTTGGGCTTTGCTGGACAGAAAAGTGACATGCTCTGACTCACCCATTAGCAGGCTGAGGCTGAAGGGAGGCAAGGGCCAGCCTTGGGAGCTTTCCTAATTCACAGAGGTTCTGCTCTAATGGGGAAAAAAACACAGTGAGTGAAACGCCCCAAAGGAGGAAGCCCTTGAGACTCTGGGATAAGAGCAAGCAGGAAGGCCTGGGGTCGGGGCTGCCCTGACTGAAGGCAGCTGGCCCTGCTTTGCCAAGTGCCTGGGATGGGTTCTAGGTTCTGTCTTTTGGGAGAAGCCATGGTCCTTCAGCACCCAGAAAACAGCTCTGTAAGATGAAAGTCTGGAAAAGAATGGAAAGTCCACCTCGTGCATTTGAGAGAGAAAAGCAATACTAGGATTGATGACAAGTATTGATGATGGAGAGATGACTGGGGGGCAGGGAGGGTTAAGAGTGAGTACTGCTCCTCCAGAGGACTGAGTTTTGTTCTCAGCACCCACATCAGCCAGCTCACAACCTGTAACCAAAGAATCTGGTGCCTTCTTCTGGCTTCCACAGCACTCACATGCACAACCCCACTACTCACAAACAATTTCATACACATAAATAAAAATAAATAAATAGGAGCTGGAGAGATGAATCAGTGGTTGACAGCACACACTGCTCTTGCAGAGGACCCGAGTTCTGTTCCCAGCACCATCTCCAGTTCACAATCACCTGTAACTATAGCTGCAGGGTCTCAAGTGCCCTCTTCTGGCCTCTGCAGGAACTGCAATTAATGTGACTACACACACCTATGTACGCATAACAACATATATATATATATGAATGAATGAGCCTACCATGGCAATGGCCCAAAGCTATCAAATGACCGATATGTGCTGTG